GGGAGATTGACAGACAGGCAGATGAATAGACAGATGGATTATTGAGAGAGCTTAGAGCTGACACTGTGACATTCGTCTGTGCGTGGACGTCTTAACAGCGTCATTATAATGTGAAAAATAGGCAAGGGGGAGGGGGGGGGATGAGAAGAGACGTTTGTACAGGTTCTTGACTTGTTAGGTGGTCGTTATAGCAGGTTTGACTGTAAATGTTAGGTCCATTGGTTCTCTATCACATTGATTGATAGATGAAGGATTGGTCAATCGGTGCGTCGATGATTTCTTTGGTCAATCAAGGGTTGATCTGTCGATCGATTTATGTTTTGATCAGTAAGAGTTCGGTTGATTACAGTAACGTGGAGAGGTTAAAGTCTGTTCCTATTACAATGTTTTCCAGCATTTTGTGTCGATACAAATTTAATATCACACCTTGGATTATTATGTATATAATTTACTGCGTTTGATTCCCACGTGAGGATGTCTATCCATCAAATGTATTTCCTTTCTGCCGGGCTGTTGTGTCCCTCGAAGTTCGGGTTTGTCCAAAAAGGTAGGGTAGAAACAATCTGTGTCCTAAACGGTCTTAATCGCGTCGATTGGGCCATAAAACATACTGTTAATTGGGGGGGGGGGGGCGGCAGCTGAAGACTATCTCGCTTATTTGCTGATCAAATGTTACCAAGTTTCAAACATATATAACAAGCATTTAAAGTCAATATTGAGAAGAAAAAAAATTGTCCATGGATACGGCGGCCATATTTATTTTGTGGTATGTCTTACATAATTAATACTGCACTTATTTTTTATGGACATAAATTATTTTTTACATGCATCTTGGCAAACAATAGATATACAAATCTGAATGATGAATTTTTCCTAAACCTACTAGAAAATTTTTAAGGAATCGTGTCCTGAGGTAGTATCACATTTGCAAAAAAATCCGTGAAAATCCACTCTCCAAACACCACCATCAAAAAACCATTCCATATATCAAAAACTCATCACTCGAATATTTAGTATTACATCTTTTCTTCATTCTGTCAAAATGTCGTGAAAATAGGATGAAAAATGGTGGCGTTATTTTTTTTCAAGTATAGAATCTATCGAAAAACCACGTTTCGAGAAAACGGGCGATAAAGATAAATTTAAAAAATTGACTTTACGAAGAAACATGCCCGGTATGGGAAGAAATAAGCCTTTAAGGGGCTCTTATGTTATGAAATAGTTGTAAGAGAGGCTGAAAAAGCTAACAATGCCTACCACTTAAAATCCATAGTTTGGAGCCGAATCGGGACTTTCGGGGTGCCGCCCCCCTTAATCGTTTACTGTAATTCCATGAATGTGGCCATGTAAACATTCTCGCCAGAGATCAATAAAAGGCCTTTCATTCGTTTAACCATCCATTCTCTACCCGCAGATTCCTCATACATCCGTCAAAAATACGCAAGGGGCAACGTGGCGCGAAGCCTCACTCTCAACGTCTCCTGTCCGTGTCCGCCGACTCCATCCCACCGCCCACCCCAACGACCTTGAGCTCCTCACATATCTCTTCGTCACCGCTGCCATCCTCGCCTTCCTCGTCCTCTCCCTCTACGCAGAACTTGAGCTTCAGCCAATCAGCCCCTCGGGCTCTGCCGCCACAGCACGCGACAGATATTCACTCACTGACCTCGAACCACAGACAGCACATGCTTGGTTGCGACGACGAAATGTTGTATAAAAATAGTAACAGGGATGGAGAGATCCATGTATTCAAGCACAGCCCTGAGATAGACCCCTACATGCCTGTGAATAGATCATCGAACTCGGATTTTCTCAATTTTCCCACGCGCAACTCGGTATGGGCAGACGATGCTGCCGCGGCGATGGCAGGAACTCTGGTGTCCACGTCGACTTTTCATAACCACGAGCCCCACCTGGAGGCTGAGTCTCAGATGTTCAAACAAGAGCCTCTGTCACTGCGCCACTCTGATGGGTTGTCGGTGCGTCCAATGTTCGATGTGCCTGCGTCAAGGCCTTCAGAAGAACCCAAAGTCTCCCCTCATGACAATCACTTCCGGTACCCTCCCTCGGAGCCGTATGAAGTTGGGGCGGCCGTTAGCAGACATTTAGATTGTCAAATGGTGGATCAAAGGTACTTGAACCAAGGTTCATCTTCGGCAGCATATTCAAGTCAGTTCTCATCCTCCACGCGCTCAGTTCCCTCCTTCCCGCAGCTGCCCCAGCCGAGTTACATGGAGCTGTCGCCCTCAACGTCTTCTGTAAACTCTCTTAAAGCTCGCAGTCTTACACCTCCGTGCAATCAAGGACAGCTTGACTGTACGAAACGCTATCGCCCATACCCGATGCATTCGCCGCGATACTCAGTGTCCCCTCACGGCTTGATGGAGAACAATTTCTGTCCACCAGCCCACACACACCCACCTGCTCACTCCTCCCAGCTCCCTCAACACTTCCGCCACACACAAAAACACGAGGAACAAAGAGAGGGAGCCAGACATTCAACGCCGCCCAACCCGGACGTTCTCCGCTACCACATCCATCAACAACTTTCACCTCCTACAGACAAAACGCAACAAGCTTCTACACTCCCCGTCACCACAGCAAAGGATAGACTTCCAAAGTTCAAAATGGAGCCGTTTGTCGGGGAACAGGACGAGCCGGAGGATTTGTCCATGAAGCCAAGCAGCACGAAAGACGAGGGGGCCACCGAACGTGTGGCTCTCTCGAGTACCCTCAAAGGAGCAGGTTGTAAGAAAGACTTTCCAAGAAGCCCGGAACAGGCATCGGCGGTGTCGCCGGACAGCTCTCAGATGGACTTCAAAGACGGAATAACGAACATCAAGAGCAGTCCTAAACTGATGAAGGCTGAGTACCAGGATGAAGTGCACTCTGCTTTTAGCAGCAGTTAGCATTCTTACCGGAGAAGAAGAGGAGCCGATAAACTTGTGTCTTGTGCATTATCTGTGACCAGCGGCCCCAGGCTCATGGCCATTTGCCTCTTCCTCCCTCGCATTAGGAACAGGCCGCCAAGAAGAGCTCTCCCGCTTGTCTCTGTTCTGGGTGATCTTCTTCGGCTCCAGCCAGCTGTGTCCCATATGCCTGAGATCTGCCTCTAGATCTCTCTCCCAGGTGGATGTCTGCCTTCCCCTCTTTCTCTTCCCCCTGGGGTTCCATCTGAGGTTTATCCTATAATGTTGTGTGTAAGCTGGCCTCCAAGCTCCGTGGATTAAAAATAGTTTGGCTCATCGCCCTGCGCGTAAAAGACAGGAGTTCAGTTTCTGCTGGGATTCTGTTCCCAATCAGCACGAGAAGGCCCTGATGGGCAGGTTTGAAGCAGCCTGTCTGCTATGTGTCCACATTCCGTCGATGAAGCCGTAAAATGTATACATTCCTCAAAATTATACGAATATCGCCTTGCTCAAAATCGTCGACCTATTCAAACAGGAACCGTGGTAGAGCTCGACAGTCTTAAATGATTAACTGTGTTTGCACAACAATTTTTGGCATATCGCCCAAAGAGAAAGAAGACAAGACCGGTGTACCGGTGAAGGGAACGGAAAGAGTTAGCGCATTCACTCGTTCATCGTGTCTGATGCTGTGGGTGGCAGTTGTGGCTCCACTTCTGTTGTGTAATCATTGATCTCTCGGCTAACGTATGAACAGTTCACTCTCACTGATTCAAGTGATATACAACAAGCATGTGTAATTTCTTTTAATGCTGACTCGGGAACATTGCTTGGTCTTTGTGTTGTGTCATGTGCTGTGAAATAATATTATTTGAATCCTAATTGTGTTACGACACGGTGGAATCGAGCAATGGTCAATATAATGATGTCTGAAAACTGGCATTTTTTCGCTGCTTAACACCTTTTATGTCCATTTAAAAACACATTTGTGTATGGATTTTCTGGAAACATGTTGATCGAAGCAACCCGAACAAAATGTAATTTTGCTGTTTCCATGGCTACTCAAGCTTTGGAAGTCGCCAAACTTTGGCGGACGTTTTCTCGCTTATTTTACCTCTGGCACCAGGTGACTCCTTCTATTGAAAAAGTCTCAACTTTTTTTCAAGACAGGTGGGAAGTTTTTCATGAAAAGCAAGCCAAATGAAAAAGCTTTAAGATGATACCAAAAATTGACGAGCGCCTTATTCCACTGCGTCGTGGCACAGTTAGTTAGGGTTCTTCTGAAAGGAGTGGGGCCCTTTTGCGAACTGAAACGTTCCACCGGATGTTTGTTCAGTTACTACTTTTATGTGAAAGGGTTTTTATTTAAAGAATCAAACATATGGCCTTTTGTTTGTCAATAAATAACGGTGCGTACATATTACATTCCATTTCTCTGGGCACCTTTACTGCAGCTCGGGGAAAGAATAAAACGTTTTATTGACTGATGTGTATATTCCGGGCGGATCATAAGTGTGTGGGTGAGTTGTTGTTGGATTTTTTTCCGGGGGGAGGGGTGGATTTTCATTCGTTTTTTGTTTTGTTTGTTTTGCTTGGGTAAAGGTTTACGGTGCTAATGTGTAGTAATTCTATTGTAGAATAACCAGTTAAACAGTGGTTTACTTAACTTATCCAAATCCGATGAAATAGTATCCAGATTATCCCTTTCCCATGTGCCTTAGTGCCTAAAATAGCTTTCCTTATTTTTCAATGATCAGTGTTCGTTGAGGGAAAAAAAATTAATTAAGCAGGAAATTTGGTGATGGTAATGCAGTACAGTTTCAACACCC